GTGCCTCACCTTCTAACATAAAAACTGCCAAGGCCACCTTCCTATCATCAGGACATTCCATAACCTCGAATATTTTTTCCAATTGCATAATCCATCCCTCGGCTTCCAGTGGGTTTACAACACCCTTAAAAGAAGGTGGGTTTAATTTCTTAAATTGTTCGATATTACTCCCACCATTTCCTGTAACTGACTGCCTGGGTGGATTGTTGTTTTCCATCTGATGTTGCATTAGAGTAACCATATTTTCCAAGGCTTTGTGAATTTCTTCCATATCAGCCTCAGCTATTCTGGATCTTGACTTTGTCCCAGTCTGTACACACAATAAATGTGATTTTAAGTACATTCTTTTTAAATTTCCTAAGAGTCTTAAACCTATTGCTTTGATACCATAATTGTCACACCCCAAGAATTTACAATACAGATATTCTTGAGATATGACAGTCCAAAACATATATACAACTCTTGATAGGACAAATTTAGCGTGGCGAGGTCTTACAAAGTAAATAAAGAAAGCTAGCACAACAATAATATCTTCCAAGGTTGATCTTGACTAGCACTTAAAATGAATCCGCAGTTATCCTGAAAAAATGTTTACCATAGTTTGATGAGTTTGGCTACTCAGTAAGTGATCATCATAATCCTAAAAATAATCATAATTGAAAGATATCAATATTTTCCAAAATGAGATCTATTAACAGAAATGCGTCAACAGTTTCACTTTCAATAAATGCATAATTAAGTATAATCCGAGTAATTGAAATGCTTATAACACTTTTAACGGCAGTACATAATTCAAAGGATTTCACAAAATACCCTACTGGCATCCCAAGTAGGTCGCCTATATACCCCATCAGCGTCCTGATGGGTCCACTTAATCCCTATCGGCGTCCCAGATAGGTCCACTTAATCCCTACAGGTCCACTTATACCTCACTGGCGTACCGGATGAGTCCACTTAATCCCTACTGGCATCCCAGATAGGTCCACTTATACCTCACCGGCAAACCGGATGAGTCCACTTGCATACTTAAATTATTTCTAAATCTCTTTAAACATTCGAAAGCAGCAACATCATGTACTCAACATATCACTGAAATCATTAATATGAATTTCACTTAAACCATTAATAACAGTCACTCTCTATAACATTTAAAAAATAACCAATCAAATATTTTGGGCTCAAATTTAGAAAGGTAGCAGTTTGTAAAGGCATTTTAGCATAATTGCCAATTTAATATGTATAGAAAAACTCTTATAAAAATTCAAGAATACGGAATTATCACAATTTATGGGATATCAATCCACAAATAAACATTTCACAACAATACTATAATCAATTACAAAAATGTCAATTTTTAAAAATAATAAGGCAGTCATTTGCACATGAATTTTACAATGTCTAAATATTCAAAACAGTAGAAAGAAATATCACAATTTTACTAAAAGCAGAAATATCACATTTATTTCTAACAATAAACAAGAAAAATAAATAGATTTATTTTTCTAATTTACAACTTTCAAAATTTCTAACATAGATAAAATATCACAATTTTTATTAAAAAGATTATTTTTCAAGATAATGAGGTCACGTGCGTATAAAATTTATCGCGCCTAAAATTCATGATAATAAGCAGAAATAATTATTTCATTTCATTTTTAAAAGGAATGGATTATTTTTCGAAACAATGAGGTCACTTACACACAAAACTTATAAAATAAAGATCCTGGATGGAAATATCACTATTTATTAAAAACAGACTATTTTGCAGGAAGACGATGTCACTTACTCACAAATATTTGAGAGGGAGCTTACGATAAAAATTTAGTTCGAGAGAGGAGTTCACTGTGTTTCGACCAGAGAGAGAGAGAGATCTCAAAATTTTCTAGGGTGGGAGTGCTCACCTCCCCTATTTAAATTCTTATAACGTATTATTGTATTATTTTATTACTCTCTACCTCATACCTGAGGTGTCGCGTTAAGAGGCTGCTTTTAACATACGAAAACCACGTCCACTAAAGGACGTGGCAAGCAGCAAGCAGCAGCAGGCAAAAGCAGCAGCAAGCAAAAGCAGGCAAAAGCAGCAAGCAAAAGTTTAAACCGAGTAAATACTTTTGAAAATAGTGATGGTCCCTAAGGACCATCATACTCAAACAGACCATCACCTATTTAAAAGCATCTTTTCTCCTTTTATTTTTATTTATTTATTTTTTTTTTGAAATTTTAGAATTGTTACAGCTCCAGATTTGAGTGTGACCCAACTAGGTAGGGTCCCAAACCAACAGACTTGGACTCGGAGGTCCATCGGAACTTGATCGAGTCGAGCCGATCCATTTGGCATCCCTAGCTGAAAACCATGTATGGTTTCAAGATTGTAAAGTTTAGGGGTGTTTGATCAAGAAAACTTATCTAATTTAATAATCCACAGGTACCATGTGACTTCATGTAGTTTTATAAAAAGGGCGAGGTTTATATAAGGCGTTTTACTTTCAAAATCACAATAAGGTGCACTTTCAAACTCTACTAAAAGATGTAGTTTTGGTGCCTAGAATCTTATGAATAGAAAATCTATTTTTGCCCCTAATCATAAAAATTAAATCCCAAAAACGGGTGCAAATCAATGAGATGAACACATGAAATGAATGGTCAGGATAATTCGTAAAAGGATGCACTAGTTTGGGACTTTCAATTTTATCTTTTTTTTTTAATATTCATACATGTCAAGGTCAACATGATCCATTGAAACGATTTCTAATATTGAAATAACCTTTTCTTTTGAGTGGATTTTTTAGGTGTACTTTGCTTATGTAGTAAAAGGTAAAAACCTTATATAACCATTTTCCTTAGTTAAATACCAAATGAAAATTCTTGTCCAGCACCAGTTTTGAGTTTTGAGTTCTTAGAACACCTACATGTCTTATTTATGTAAAGGGCACGTTCCTGGCTAACCAATTACACGGCTATGATGTTTGCACTCTTGTTTTTAAAACTCACATCTTTGGTTTTTAATTAAGAGTAATTATACTGCATATTTTACTTCTACTCCCTTGGTTAGATGACCTATTGGGAGGATTTTTTCGATCTAAAATTTTGGTAACCACCTTACAATCACTTAGAATTACTAGATGATTATTCTAAAAAAAAAACAAAATTGAAATTTGAGTTTCCTAACACTTACATCTCACCCTCTAAAAATTTGAAGGTTTCTATTGAACCTTAAGAAATTATTTTTTCAAATGCTTAGAGGGTGCAATTTGATTTATTTATTGTGGTTAATTTATGTGTTAAATATGTTATATCTCCAATTTTTGGGGTCCTAAAATTAATTCTAGTTGGGGTTTTATCCGAAGGAGTAAAAAGACAATATACTCCTAAGGGAGTTGAAATATTTTGGGTTTATCCATAAGTGGAAAAGTATACAAAGAGACAAAAAGACTAATCACTTTTGGTACGATGTCACAATTACTCTTATTTGTTAGATTTTAAATTAGGTGGTTGTAAGAATGACATTGATTGGCTCGAAGTCACAAAAAAAAATTCTTATACTTCGTAACTAACATCAAGTCATCCAATTTGATATCTAATGACTATAAGTAATTATGACCTCATTGCTATAAAGATAAAGGTAATGGTTTGTATAAGGTTGCAACTTTAAACAATCTAATTAAGGCACATCTCCAAATTTTTTTATTATAAGATGTAATTTTGGTTTCAAGATTCTTGGGATTGCATGAAAATCTATTTCCATCAATAGTTATAAAATTTTAAGCTCCAAAAATAGTTCAAATCAAATAGATCTATAAACATATGAAAATCTTGAAAATAGGCCGTTTAGATAAGGGAAAGTTGTTCGTGAGTCAATGGGTGCAGGAGCCCATTGACTCAGCAATGTCCATCTTTAAAATGGACGATGTGAAAAACTCATAAGGCTTATATAGGGTAGAAATAGTTTTCAAGAAAATCACATCTTAAATATAAAATATTTTATTTATTTTTCATATTCATGATCATCTTAAACTAGATTAAGAATCCCTAAAATTTTAGATGAAACATTCACCTTTAAGATGCCCACATATATTACAGCGTCACTCATGGTAACCCCATTCTTTAGATAATGTGTTGCAAGTGCATTATTTTTAGAACTTGAAATCTTTTTTTATTATTCATAATTAGAGGGTTTTTCAACATTAAACAATCTTCTTCAATGGATTTTTGAGGTGCACTTTAATTGTACATTTCAAGTTTGCAACCTTATATAAACATTTTTCCTCTTTAATGATATCTTATTTTACAAAGTAAAGTATATAATAAGACCATTTATTTTTGATACAAGGTGGTCACAATTAATCTTGAACTGGATATGAATTAGATGGCTGAATTTATTCCATTTACCAAACTCAAACTTCAAAAGAAACTTTTTCGAAGTTTTTGACATACCCAAGCTATAAAATTTCATATCGGATAGTGGTAAGTAATTGTGATCATATAAAAGTTTCATTGTGTACAGTCCCATAATAAATTCCCACTTCAAGGAATTCCCACTTATTTTCTAGATGACATTTTGTTTTTGTTCAAGCCCATGGTAAACCAGATTGAGAGTGGCTATATGGAAAGGGTGTAGTTTGCATATGGATGCATCTGGAGGTGTAGAGGTAAGGTGCATCTTCAAATTTTATCATGGTATGCAATTTTGATGTAAAATACTGAATTATCTTAAATTTGATTTTTATATTTAATTATAAAATTTGAAAATTTAAAAATAGTTAAAATCATGTAGATGTATAAATATATGAAAATCTTAAAAATAGATAATATGTTGTTAAATACACTAATTTTAACACTTAAAACTTTTTATTTTTAATAGTTCAATCGAAGATATTTTTATTTTTAATAGTTCAATGGAAGGCTTTTCAACATTAAAACTAACTTTTTTTTTTTCGATGGATATTTGTGGGGCATCCGTAGTTCTACATTATAATGAAGCATCCTTATATAAACTTTTTCCGTATGGAAAAGACCATTATGGAAAAATGCGTTTTCACGACTGAGAGCAGCCGGTTTTCCGTCATCAATGAATTTTCTGAGGTTTACAGGAAAATCTATTTCAGAGCAACTCCATTTGGTGGAGAGGCTTCTTATTACCTCTTCCGAGAATTGGTGAATCATCACTAATGGCACAAACTCACCCACTATCGTCATGGGTGTATCAGGTTGTCTCTCTCTCACCCCAGTAGTTGTTTTTGCCTATGGATTGTGATCCACGCATCTTGCTTGCTTTCATTGCTGATAATATCTGATAGTTGCGATTATCACATGTGAAATCCCATTTCTTGTAAGAAACTTCGCTACATGGTTTGTGGAATTTCATTACTTATGTATACAACTCTATTTAGCGGTTTAGGAAAAGACCCAGATTTCCTGATTAAATAGGGAACCGAGAAAGTTGTTCTATATTGGGGTATTCGGAAATAACCTTTTTCTTTTTTTTTCCTGAATGTGGGTCCTGGTAATAACCATTTAGTAGTTTAGTGGAAAAACAACCCATTCGTTTTATTAAACAGAGGAAACCCAGAAATTTGGTAGACTTATGCATGTTCATTATACCAGGAAGCCATCACAGCTTATTCAAATTGAATCAATGATTCATGATCACATATGTGTAATCAGGAAGAGGGGAAGGAACTGTAATTGTCGATAATGAACCATTTTTTGTTACATACAGTTGTTATGGACTGCTGCTCATTTATACTCCACTGTGTTTCAAGGGATTCCTGATTCTCAGCTCCATGAAAATGGTATTATTGACGTAAAGCTCTAAACTTTCCTTTGTCGAAAACCCACGTCTAGTTAAGTTGGATAGAAGAAAAGGGATGCAAATCCTATGTCAACTTATCTACCAGAAATACAACAGTTGCGCCACCTCATTGGATTGAGATTGGATTGTTGTGTGTTTTATAATCCATGACAGGGATGTTTATTGTGATATGTGAGAAAAATTAAAGGCCTCTGCCTCTCTGGTTTGTTCGATTCTTGAGGCAGGAACTTGTTTGGTTGTAGTTTATTTCATGGTGCGTGCAAAGGCTTAGTGAATAATGGAAAAACTGATTGATGCTAGCCCATTGAAGCATTTCTGTCTTGTAGTTACCAACCAATGCATCAAATAGTCCTTCATATTTCAATGCATTATGATTTTGATACAATGTGAAATCTGTGTTAAATCAGGTAGAGTTCAAACTCTGAGTCCCTCATAGCAAATTCACCTGGTAATGTTTGGCCATTTTACTTCTTTAATTCTTAGTAAAAGCTAAGGCATAACTTTTTTCAGTTGAAAATTCTTTCACTCGTTCAATCATAACCTCATCATATGATCTTCACTTTTTGAACTATTTGTATTTTCACAAGGTTATAAAAGAAAATAAACTTATTAGAAGTTACCGAAATGTGAAGCACCTAGGATGGCATAAATTCACTTTTTGAACTTGTATTGAGTAAAAGAAAGAGGGCAAATACACAGCTGTATGCAACAATGCAAAACAAATTTGTACATTGTGTCCCCTGCTTCATCCTCAAGAGTGGGAAGTGGGGGTTATAATAAATGCATGTATACCAAAAAGCCTGTGGGCTGGGTGATGCAGCAGCTAGCATCATGCATGTGGCACATCTAGCTGAACTAGAATCAGGCTTATTCAGCACCAAGGTGGCACCCCCAGTTAGCACTTTTAATGTTGTTTCATTAGAGAATGATATTGCCTCAAAATGTCTTGTATCTTGCATATGAAAAGATTATGTGGGGGTTAGGATTGCATTGGAATAGTTGTTGCATGAGTGATGGGTTTAGTTTGACAACAATGATGAATTTTGAATCAAAAAGTTTGTTTTTTTGACAAACAACATGTGTGCTGCATTTGGGGTTGAGTGAGTCCTCCTAACTAGAGTTAAGTGATTCCTCCTACCCGGTGTCTAGTGATTCCACTATAAGCTGGCCGAGTGACTCCCAATAATGCTTTGCAGTTCCTAGCCTGCATCATTTGGTATTAGCGCTGAGGTTGTGGGATTCCTGTCGATTGCGATGGCTAGTCGTGGTGGTAGATGTAGCTGTAGGTATGGTGTCTATAACCTAGATCGAATGGTTGAAAGTTGAAAATCCAGAAGTAGTTGGTAGGTTTGCTGATATGTGATTGGTTGGCTTAAAAATTGGAGTACCAAAAGGTGTGAGTAACCTTGCTGATGCGTGATCGGGATTAGCACATGCATGCCATAGGTGAGATAAGGTTTATAGTGATGAGACCAATATCTGTAGGTTTCTTTGGCAAGCAACATGAATCAATCGTAGACCAAGTTGCTGTTGGAGGGATTGGATTCAGGGTCTGATTGCAGTGAAGGCCTGTGCGTGAAGCTCTCAACCAGTGCAAGTCAGATGATTCAAGCTAACAGACTGTGTGGGGTAAACACACTCAATACTGGGATGACAATTCAGGTGTTGACATTGATTTTCCTGAAGCTCATGGAGCTCTGTTTGAGGATAATAATAAAGAGATGTTGCTCTTAAATGGATCCCAAAAGTAGCAACTCATAAAGTGGGATTCTCTGCCAATCTTTGACGTCTATCCTAATGAAGGTGTAGCTGTCATGGTTTGTCTCTCACAAAAGTCTCCAAGAGTTTGCTAAAAGGCTGCCTACTTATAGCTCCCTTGATGAATTAGTCGATGTCAATAAACATTCGCTATCCATTGGTTGATATTGTGTTGTTCATCACTTAATCGAAAAATTTCTATTGCATCAGTTGAGATTTTGTGGGTTGAAGCTCATCCAATTCATATCAAACTTATCCAAGTTCAAATTTTAATTATTCCACTTTTCACTGCGGTTTCTTCAATCCAAAGCTTTTTGCTTGAATCACTTTCCAATGGTTGTTTGGCTGATCTAAATCCTTTTGTGGGATGAAAGATCAGGCCAACACGGATCATTCTTATCATTTTTTATTGTTTTGGACCACCTTGGGTGAGTTTTTTTCTCTTGAAGTTTCATCGTGGTCTTGCAGTTGTAATATTATCCATACTATTTTATCTGCTTTTCTTCCATCGAGTATTCCATGTTATCCTCAAACCATGGTGGTTGAAGAGCTAGATATGGAATTTCCACTTTGAAAACCTGATCCATGGATTTCATGCATTCAAATTCAAATTTTTGGGATAAATCCTCGTCCATATGATATCCCCTAGGCAGCAGACCGGCATGAACCAGGATTCATACATCAATTTTGTGTTGTGGACTTGTTGTCTTTTGGAACACTGCGACAAATTAAATATCACCTCACCCGATAAGCAAAATTTTACAGTGTTGATTTTATGAACTATTTTTACCCTAAACAAGTTCTGGAGAGAGTTTTGTAATTATCTGAGCAAGATTTCTTATAGTCCCTGCTTTTGTCAGCCTGTTTCCTTTGGCTTAACCAGTACGCAAGTGGGTACAGCCCTCTTCCCCTTATCTGATTTCCATGAAAATTTATTAGAACTATTCTATGATCCCTTTTCATTCATTCTACTTCAGTTCAGGCCCTTGTAAACTATCCCAGGCATCCTTAAGTTTTGAGAACTAGTACTCATAGGTGGTGCATATCTGGACTTCGTATGGACTCTTCTGGGATGTTGTGTTACAAAGCACACCCAAACAGCAGGCCAGGGCATATAAGGTCTTGCTAAGAGTCACTCGAGCAACTTCTAGCAGAACCACTAGACTCGGGTAGGAGAAAACAATCGACTCCAATTAGTAGGACTCACTTGACTTCAAATGCAGCAGAGAAGTTTCTTGCAAACACTTAAAAATTTTTATTCGAAATTTGTCATTACATTTTCAACCACGATATTAGACTCTTACAGACTTAAACCTAAGTCTAGATGCTTCTAAAGACCCTCACCATGCTCCCATGCATTGGAAGACCAACTCTCCTTGAGACCTTCAAAACATTGACTAAAGATAGACACTACATAGGAAATATACAAAACTAAATCCATCACTCATGCAAGAACCATTCTACCGCAATCCTTGTTTCCATGCAATCTTGCCCTATGAAAAATGCAATAGATTTTTGTGCAATAGCATCCACTCATACAACAACATTGTATATGCTGACTTGATGTGCCCCCTTGGTGCTGAATAGGCGTGTCTAGACATGCCACATGAATGATGCTAGTTATGCATCACAGGGTATTGGGGGGAATTTACTTGTCAAAACCCTTATACAAAATTCTGGAGGTGGGAGGAGCTGAGGAAAAGAGGAGGGGTGGGAGAAGAAAGGAAATAGTTAAGTGACTGTGAGCATTGGGAGAAGAAAGGTCAGGCTTGGATCCTACTGTTGAGGTCTTGGAACCTCCAAGGAGGAGCCTAGTACTCCTTGTTCGACCAGAGCATCTGATTGTGAATTTACTTCCCTCCAAGTATGTCTGAAGAAGATGTTCAGCCTCCTGGAGAGCTCCCTTATTTGGCAGAAATTGGTTGCAGCCTCCATTGGAACTATTGCTGCTGTCGTTGCCCAAGAAAATCACACTTTGGAAATCACCCTCTACTAGGAAGGAAGATCCCTAAGTGTTGGCAAAGAGTTTTAAACCTTCTGAGAGAGTCCTGGCATCGGCGGTGGCTGAGTTTGCAACAAAGATGGGGCCTGAGAATGTGAGAAGAACCTGTGAGCTATCTCTGAACATCCCTCTGATACCTGTGGGGCTGGGATCGGTGATGGCAGAACCATCGATGTTCAATTTGATAATCCCCTGCTCTGGGTGGGATCTGTTGACTTGTTCACTTTGTACATGAAGGTTTTGTGAAGAGAATGACCCCTCCAATTTGTCAACAAGGTGGTTTGTTGCCGGGAAAAAAACAAAAAACACTAGCAACATTTTATCATGGACTTTCTCTATTCTCGATGGATGGATGTAAAAAATGCAACTATTTCATTCTATCCTAATGCACCTAATTGTACCCAGGATACTGGTCTGTTTAAGCAAAACACCAAGATTGGAAAGGTGGGAGAAGAAAGCTTCTAATAGCTATCCTACAAACCCAGTGATGACCCACTCCCAACCTAATAGACTGATTAAGGAGGACTGAATTTTGGCTGTTTCCAGGCAGTGCAAGACCAATAACCCATGGAATCTTCTCCTTCTTTTCACGACCTTGTCACATGTGAGGACTCTTTTGAAGAGATCTACCCAATTAAAGGCTTGAAAATTTGGTGGTAAAGGGGTCAGGCTTTGCAAACTACTGATGGGATGGCATTGGGATTCCGTGCAAGGGAAAGGAAGAAAGAGGCCACTGTGATTAGGGAGACCAGATCATTCTGTAACTGCCTTGGCGTAATAGGTACGTGGAGTTCAGCAATTCCAGTAACCCAACAAGGTTCGGAAATCCTTCATCCCTTATGTTACTAAACTGTGAGGACTAGATCAAATTCTCCCCAATGAAGTCATAGCAGTGGGCCCCAGAAGACTTTTGGTTTAGTGCCAGTAATCACAGCCTTGGGTATAAAAGGCTGAGTCCTGAACCACAAATCCTTCCAAAACCTTGCTCTGTTCCCTTTGTTACGACATATCTAGAATTTAGTACTGATGCCATTCCTCTCCAGGCCTCTGAAGCATTGGCATTGGATGAACCCTGTGGAAACCACCCTGTTTATGTGAGACAACACCTGCGTTGGACCTTTCCACTATTGGAAAATGGTTGGGTGAAATAGGGGAAAAAATTAGTACAAATTCAGAAAAGTAAAGGTGGATTCCTTCTTGTTTTTTGGCACATAGGAGCGCTATCTCAAGACGATGTTTGCCCCCCTTTACTATTGTAATAGATGTGAATAAGAAGAACAATTTATCCTTGGGATATAGGAAAACAAAGAGGCCTCTTTTGATGTTCTAAAGCTCAACGCACCCGAGCTTGAAAACCCACATTAAACACTAGAGTCTTAAGCTCCCTAGATTTTCATAGAGAAAGGTGTGTTGAGAGAGAGTTACAAAAGTGTTGTTCAAGTGTCTATCTCGTATGGGAAGTAGGACCCTTATTATAGAGCTACAAGGAGGCTGCACATTTATTGTAGTGGTGGTTACATGCACCACCAACAACTACAA